TGGATGAGTGAAAATATGGCTCTGAAAAAAGTTCCACCAGAACTCACACAATGATATTTGTAGTTTATCTACCAAAACTCTGAAACCCCTTAATGACAAGGTGCTATTGCTAATGTATTGCAGCTAAAGGATCAAGTCACCCTTTCCCACTAAAGTCCTTGGCAACGGCAGATGGATATCATGCTACTGTCACTCTCTTTGCAAAGTAAGTGGGCACTCAAACAGTTAAAATACTTATCAGGAATCTTAAAGTCACCGTTACAATTGTTGGCTACTGTTTTGAAGACGGACAAATGGCTTTTATTTCTCCCATTTCGGCAGTGAAATATAACTGATGATAGCGTGTCAGGGCGCATCATCGTGCATTGTCTAATGTTTACAGCATAGCAGCTCCAACCCGTGCCCCGTCTACCCGGGAGAGTATCCCATTTCCACGCTGACCCCGCGCCATTCAGGTCGTATGCAAAACAGAACTAGAGATGGCGCAGTGAAAAGGCCACGGCTGTCACATGGCACGACGCCCCCTCCCAAAGCCACTAACCCTGAACCGCTGACCCATAGGTGACATGCAGGACCAAGGGTGTATTTTTAAATGGAGGAGAGCAAATATACAATAATATCTTATTCCTCTATCCCATTTCCTAGATTTCTAAGACCATATACACAACATGGCCGTTTAATATTAACTAGATGATCTATATGCAGTTTGACAACTTGGACCCAAAGGTGAAAGTTGACCTACACTAGGCTGGCTACCGATGCAGAGTACTATTGTAGATTGAAATAGTCATATTAATGTACGTCGGGATAAGTGCCTTCCATCTGTGACATGCTATGGCAGTACTGACTTGACATTTAAGAGACGTTTATGTGAATATGCTGCAATGTAATGGCGATTAAGCATACAGATGGTATATTCATATGCTCCATTTATTTATACCATCTCCAACTATATATTTAAAGCACAAACCCTTCATTTTTCTCCACATTTTTTACCAGTTGAAAATTCATGCACAGAAGCATATGCATATTGTTTACGCGATGTGTTAGTTTGTGCCATGCGCCCGCCCTGTTTACAACAGCTTGGCATCATTCTGCACAAAAAACATGCATGTTATAAATACAGGAATGTCCCCGTTATTTATACTCCATGGCTGATATGGACATAAAGTACTTTTAGAAGATATATTCCATAACAACAGGCTGTGGCTTGGCTGCATGTCCGATAGGTATGGGAATTTGCCAATATGGCGTCCCGCATTGGCCACCTGTTGCTCCTAAGTGGCTGTGAGCTTTAGGAGTGGCTCATTTGTCACGATTTTTAAGAAATTATTTTACCATAAATAAATAGTAAATAGCTGAATACAATTTTGCTCTTTTCTTTGAAGGTGTCTTGTTTTGTTTTCTAAGTGGGTCTCATGGAAAGTTGTATGCACTAAGTGGTAGTAGTAGCAGTACAACTTATTTTAAATGCAACATGTCGTTTTTTTTTTTGGAGAAAAGATGTTTTCAGGTACGTAATACTGTCCTGAAGATGTTCTATTATTTTTTCTTTGTTCTTTTAACACGACTGTTCCTGTTTTTCTATATGTCTATAAAAAACGTTACTGTTTTCCAAGAATTAGCATCATAAAACAGACAAGGTGATCTTGGAGACATTCAGTTCTTTTAAGAAATGTTGCACTATTATCATTCAACGTGGCTTCTCTAATTGAACCCTGCTCATTTCTTGTCACATCAAAACATATCATATTTTTCTTCCAAGAAAAGCTGCCCTTCAGTATAATCACATCGTTGTCTTGACGATAATTAATTTGAAGCTATCATTGTTTTCTGTGAAAGATAAGAGATGTCGTGAATGGCAACTCGGATTACGTGATAACAGTCTTTGCAGGAAGTTGCGTTTGCATTGGGTTTCACATCACGAAGGAGAATGACTTATTTCCCTTTATTGACTCGTCATCTCGTCTCCTGACATCAGGTTGATCAGACACAGTAAATCTACAGATGACCCAGATGTCCTACAGTGACTTATACTCATGAGGTCCATATTTAAGAAATGTCTTTTACCTTTGTTTCGTTCTCTGTTGTTGTAAGTGTGGTTGTTATCACTTCCCAGAACCTACAACGTGTTGCGATTTGTTACGTGCTATCTGAGAGTATAACATTGTGATTATTGGGAATACTATATAATATAATGAGGAGAGAAATGAAAATCGTTATTTCTTTTGTATTGTAATTTCCTTTCAAATTTATATAGAAAATATATGCATATCCGTGTTATCGACGATGCATTGGTCTGCATATGATATAGAAAATTATAGACATCTAAACCAAGAGGGTTGTTGCTAGAGTATTTTTCTTTTTACTTGAAGGAAGCTTATCAATTGCATATCGTATTATTGGGTTATAAAGAGCAGGCTTCGTTAGATGTTATATGTCTATGAACACCTGTTCAAGCCCCCATTACCATTTTCTATTTTGCTTCAACCGGTTGTAAAGCAAGGCTGGCATTAAGGTATATAACATCCACACAATTACCTACACAGAGGATGGGCATTCAGATGATCATGATCGTGTTGCAATCGTTCTGTCAACTGATAACAGGCGATATGCCATTTGTGTTGAATAAACTTTGCATGCATTCAGCCTACATGCATAATGAACTTTGCCAGCAGCCTCGAATAATTCTTAATATCATTTGAATTGAATTGTATTAGATATATGGCTGATTTGTGAAACGTTTGTATTTAAATGTGTTAATACTTGTATTTGAAGATTATTAAGTCTTGTGTTTCTTTCTGTGGTGTAGAAAACTGACCTGTGGTCCACAGAGAGGCTCAAGCTGGACCGTATTTTCCAAATATTTACTAAATCCACGAGTGGCCATACCTGACTGTGTATAATATGCATATGGCGGTTTCTGATGCTCATCCTGTAAATTATTTCTGAGTCATACCATACCATATCATATTGAAAACACCAAATGAATGTGTTTGTCTTACGCACCTTATTCACAATTAAGTGTTATAAAAATAAACAACAGTATCATTCAACTTAAGTGATAGTGAAGATGTGAACTATCAAGCGCATACACGACACACGATAGGTGTTACAATGTATCTTTATTGGGTAACACACAAAAACCACACGTGTGTGACAATAATGTATACCTTTGAAAGAAGCTGTTAATTATCAGAGCTGATACGTGAGTGCACTAATAGTACAGTGGATGCTGCTTCCTTGTTAATAACTTTAGTGATGCTGAAGTGTTTTTCAATTTAAGGGACGTTCGATAGAACGGTTATGTGTGTAATGACAAAATTCGTTGGTCTGAACAAATGAATTGTATCTTATGTTTAAACAGCAATGCCAAGTAGGCCTAACGTGTTTCTTTCTTTTTTTTTTTTTTTTTTTTTTT